TAAGTCTATGACGTTTTTCCTTTACTTGTTTATTTTCTCTAATCTTTATTTTTGCATTTCTTTTAATATTGTAGATTCAATTAGAGGGAGAGGTTTATCTAAGCAATTAAAGTTTCGCCATTGCACCCCCCCCCCAATTTGAGTTATTTTATCTATTTAAAAGAGTACATAAATGATTTATAATCTAAGTGTGATTGTAAAGTTTATCTTGTAACTATATCTTACATTTACTTCAAAGTGTATCTTAATTTTGTCTGAACTAATTATTATTACTATTATTTTAATTTAAAAAATAAAAAAAAATTAAAAAAAAAGAGACAAAATGCATTTTTTTAAAAAAAAAAAAAAAAAAAAGAAAACCCAATCCCAAAATTCTTTTCATTTAAACCCAAATGCTTTTATTAATCCATTTTAAACCGAATATCTGCTCTTTTCAAATGGAGTCAGCACACCAGAAAATCAAATTCAATTTATTCAGCCCAAGCCTGTTCCGTTCAGCTCAATCAAATTTCAGCCATATAAAACGACGCCGTTTCAATGTATGCACTACAAAGAGAAAAAAAACCAAGTACTTAAAATTATTAAAACGAAAAGTTGGTGAAATACCCTATCAAATAAACTCTTGTTTTTACCAAGCCTTCATGATTTGTTGTCATTTTATTATCTATAAACAAAATTAAAATTTACGTAGAGGTTGAAACATCAATTATAAGTATATTATGAAAAAACATTACACATAATAAAATTTTATTTTCGGAGAAAAAATGTGTAAATGGATGATATTTTCACTGAGAATCACAAAAGATTACAAAATAATTCTTCTGAATCTTTTTGAGTTAAAATTCTATATAATTTTTAAAAAAAGACAGTATGATTTGAATTTACATTTTGCAGACGAATCTACACTAATTATAAAAAAAAAAAATTGTTTATATCTGTATATTTACTCCAAAACAAGATTACCAAATACATACAGATGAAGAAATTGACCCCAAAAAATCTATTATGGTCAGCTATTTGTCATCCATCTAATTACTCTCTCCTTTGTTTTTTTTTCTTCCATTCTTTAAATGAGTTTTGGCCATTTTCCTATAATCCTATAATATAAAAAGAAAAAAGAAAATCACCAAATATATCAGCTTACTACCGTCCGTATATTATGACTCCGATTGTATAAATTTGTATAATATTATTCGATTTTATACAAACTATTTTTCCTTCAATGGAATATGATATATATAGAGGTTCAAAGTCCTACAGTGTAATATGTAATATCGGATTGGTGTCCTAGAGTATGTGGGGCCTGATAATATTAATTATATATTGTTTAGAGAATTAATGACATATATATATATATATTGCATGTAAACTAAACTATAATTGAGAAACTACTATTATTAATTCAAAACTCTTGTATGACTTATAGTCAATTGGTCTTATGGATTCAGGTCTGAAACTATTCTTCCTCTTCTGCTTCATCTCCTTCCCCTCGATCTGCACCAGCAAACACCACCCGCTAGACCCTCTATCTAGAAAAGAGCTCACCCTAATCAAGACCATCCTCAACAAATCATACCATAACCTAACCTTTCACTACGTTGGGTTAGACGAGCCAGAAAAGACAGTTCTCCTACCATGGCTATCAAGACCCACCAAAAAAACCTTACCACCTCGTCGAGCTCTTGTCATTGCTCGACTCCATAAACAAACTCATCGCATCATCGTCGACTTATCCTCATGCTCCATAATATCCGATAAACTTTATGAAGGATTTGGCTACCCTTTGCTCACAATTGAAGAGCAAACAACTGCGTCGCTCTTGCCATTGTCGTACGAGCCATTTCTGGATTCAATCAAGAAGAGAAATCTTGATTTAGCCAGTGTTGTTTGCTCGACTTTTACAGTTGGGTGGTTTGGAGAAGAGAAGATGGGAAGAAGAGTATTGAAGATTCAGTGTTTCCATCCAAAAGACACTGTCAACGTGTACGTAACGCCCATTGAAGGAATAACCCTAGTTGTTGATCTAGACGAGATGAAGATAGTTGATTATAGTGACAGGATACGAGTTCCAGTGCCTAAAGCTGAAGGAACTGATTACAGATCCTCAATGCAAAAACCTCCATTTGGTCCATCTTTAGCATATGCAGCCATTTTAGAACCAGATGGTCCAGGCTTTAAGATTGATGGCCCATAAAGTCAGGTTAGTATCAAAATATTAGCCTTTTCAGAATTGAAGTTTTTTCTTTTTGAGTACTAGAGGAATTATTCATTTTTCATGTTGTGAAACTATTAAATGTTGAGACCTCTCATTAAAAGAAGTATCTTCACAAGGCACGTGGAGAAATATGAGTTTAATGCCGAATCTGACAATTTAGCATTTCACCAGTCAAATGAAGCATGAAAGCTTAAAAAACGGTGAGATAAACTTTTTTTTAGGATAAACTTAAATAATTTATTAATTAAATGATATATAATATTAATTTTTTAACCAAAATATACAAATCAACTTAAATATATAATCTCTTACAAAAAGACTGAAAGATAAGTTAGGATCTAAAAATTTTTGACATTGAAAACAAATGGGTCTTGAGGATATAAGAGTGAAATAAATTTTGATGCTATTTTTCTTGTTACTAGTTACTTTTATTTCAAATGAATATAATTGCACATATAATTTTAATTAAATCTTCTTAAAAATTGAAAGAGATAAAATATTAGAGAACATTTTTGTTTTATTTAATGTATGTAGTTTATTGTAAATTAAAAATGAAAGAGAGAAAAAACTAGATAAAATCCTAACTTTATATAATTATGATTTTAAACAGTTGGGCGAACTGGGTATTCCATGTGGGATTCGATGTTCGAGCGGGTCCAATAATATCTCTTGCATCCATTTATGATGTTGAGAAGAGTAAATTTAGAAGGGTATTATACAGAGGGTATATTTCTGAGATATTTGTGCCATATATGGATCCATCTCCAGAATGGTACTACAAGACTTTTTTTGACTCTGGTGAATTTGGGTTAGGCCAAGGAGCAGTCCCACTTGAACCATTTACTGATTGTCCAACAAATGCACAATTCATGTCTGCATATTATGCAACTCAAGATGGCACACCAGTCAAAATACCCAATGCCTTTTGTATTTTTCAAAAGCATGCAGGGAATGTCATGTGGAGACATACAGAATATGATATTGGAGACCAAGTAGTAAGTTTTTTTCCTTTTTAAAAAAAATTATATTTCTTATTATTTTTGTTGAATATTCTTTTTAACTTTTAATTTGTTTAAATTTCTAAACTGATCATAATTATATATGTAACTAATGTGACAGATAACAGAAATTAGAACAGAAGTGACGTTGGTTGTTAGGATGGTTATAGCAAGTGATAATTATGATTATATTCTCGATTGGGAATTCAAGCCATCTGGATCCATTAATATAAAGGTACCCTTTTATTTTTTTTATTTTTTTTAACTTTAGTAGTTATGGTACTTTTAGCCAACTCTTAAGTATAAAGATTAATGTTTACACTGTTCGGCTAAAAATAGATCATCTACTTTAAAAGATAAATAAAAAAAATATTTAATTACTGGTAAATTGATCTATTGAGATTAATATAAAAGTACTTTAACAATATAGGAGATAGTAATTGACTAAATTAACTATTTATGACTTTTGTTCCTCTACAGGTTAGTTTAACAGGAGTGTTAGGAGTAAAAGGAGTAGTGTATAATCACACTGATGACATAAAAAATGATACACACGGTACTTTGCTAGCAAATAACACCGTTGGTACATACCATGATCACTTATTTACCTACCATCTTGATCTTGATGTTGATGGAGATGTTAATTCCTTCATAAAAAATAATTTGGTGACGAAACGAGTGACAGACTACAGTTCTCTTAGAAAGAGTTACTGGACAATTGTGAGCGAAACAGCTAAAGTTGAATCTGAAGCTCGAATTCAACTTGGTTTAAAGCCTATTGAAATGATTGTGGTTAATCCTAATAA